GGGATCTTGGAAAGGGATTAGCACTTTGTCCTTTGCTCCTCTTCTGCTCCGAGGCCTCCGTGCACCCCTGCGCCAGGCGCCGCTGCTTCACTGAGGCGCCTCGGTGGGTCTGAGCCCGGGGCGCTGGAGGTCCCGGCGTCGGCGGTGCGTTCCCGTCCCCTCCCAGTTCCCCTCGAAGCTGTGGATGCGCCACCCGTTCTCAGTCCCCAGGGCCTGGGGCCGGGCCTCGGCCCTCCTTTCTCTTCCCCGCGGCGGGGCCGGGAAGGGGCCCCGCCATCTCCCAGGCAGGTCCGAGAGGGATGTGCAGATTCATTCTCCTGTGGAGAACAGGTGGCCCCGAGATCAGGCCCTTTTTGCTCTTTGTATTTTATTTTGAAACTGTATTTAATGCTTTTATATGAAAGGGGAGGGGCGGGGAGAGATCTGTCCCAGTCACCTTTACGTGCAAATGTCTTATTTATTATGCGTGTATCAGAGATAAGCTGTGAGGTGGTGGAGGAAGGACTTAGAGGAAGGAGTGAGGACAGGGGATGAGAGGATGCCGAAAACCCCATGCTGTGACTCTCCAGGCCCCGCGCCTGCTCTTCACATGGCCAGGCTAGTTCTTTGGGTCTTAAGGCCTGAGAGAGGGGAGGTCAGCGGGTGGGGCTTGAGGGCTAAGCCTGGATGTTGAGGGGCCCTGGCACCTGGGGCCAGGGGTTGCCTCTACAGGTAGGAAAGCAGACAGCGAAGAGGAAGCCCTTTCATCCCAGCCCCACCAGGCCAGAGCCCAAGGTTCAAGTGCCTCAGGCCCACTCCCCTTGACTCTTCCTGACTTGGGAATTGGATTTTATACCACGGATTTTATAGCATTTTTATATAATTCAAGATTGTCAGAGTTGGAAAGATCTTGGAGATCAACTAGTATCTGCCTTCACCCCATTCACAGATAGGTAAAATGAAGCTCAGAAACTGAAATTATCACACAGCCAGCTAGGAACCGTACAAAAACTAGCATAAAAAACCTTCCAATTCAGTTTCTTTGCACTACATGACACTGCCTCCCAATCTCTGGTAAGTTATAAAAACTTCCCATCTGGCCTGCCAAAGGATGGCACGTGCTGGGTGCTGCAGGCAATCCCAGCGCAGTTAGTTGTGACCTGGGGATGGCAAAGAACTGCACACCTCCCTGGAATGAGTACTCTACAAGGCAGGTCTTACCACCAGAGGCTCCAGCTGGAAGGTGTGGGCAGCAGCCTTCTCCATCAGAACCTAAGTGGGTTTGACTGCTGCCTGGCCCAAGGCCTCCCAGTTGTCCGGGAAGGGCAAGGGCTCTGGCATTGTCCCCGTTGGTGTTGATGCCTCCAGGGAGTCGGGAAATACTGCATGGGCCCTCTGTTGACTGAAAAGTAACTAGTGTGTTTGAACCTCCAGGGTTTTTGAGACAGTATTACAAGCTTGAGACCAGGGATTATGGATGGCACCAGGCTAGGCACTGCCATTCTTTTATTTTCCTTCACACAGTTGTTTTCAAACCCAGAATGAGTATTCTACCACTTTTGTTACTCTGCCTGTTCAAAAATGGTAGGCACATCGGGGCAACCTGTTATATTCACCCAAGCCCACTGCCAAAGTTCAGGTGAGCCAGGGCAGAGAGCAGGTTAGGAGCGGTATTTCCTCTTGATATGGAGGGAGGGACCTTAGGACAGGGGTTGATGGCTTCATGGCAGCCCCAAGCACTCCAGTGGTTCTCAAAGTGGCCATCAGACCAGCATTGTATTAGGAACTTAACAGGAACGGAAATTATTGGGCCCCACCTCACTGAATCAGAAGTTGGGGTGGGGCCCAGCCATCTGTTTTGATAAGTACTTCAATGCCCACCGAGGCTCACTTCAGTGCTGAGCACCAGTGATTTAGGAAGTGCCACTGGAGCGGCTCCTGCTTAGGGGTCAGGGGGTCCTCATCTCTAGGTGTATACCTCTCCTTGCCTTGGGAGTCTGACATGAACAGGTGGTTTCTTCATGAACTTTTTGTTAATGGTATGCTTGCTATTACGGCCAATATGTAAATGTTACTCTGAATACATATTTATGTACCATGTTAGTGACATTATTCAAACATTTGTATACATATTTGTGAAGTTTGCATCAGTTATTTTTTTAATTTCAGCTTAATTTTCCTAAGGTATGTTGAATAAATTTTTTAAATCCAGCTTAAGGGGCATGGCAGCCTTAGTTTTGGAGGAGAGCAAGTCCCAGGTGGCAAGTTGTTTCAGCAAAGACCTGATGTATTTAGTTTCCATTTTCCATGGTGACTGACTCTCAAGTGCATTGTGGCCATGTGTGATTTGGAGGCTGCTTCATATGCTGAAGGTGGGGAACCCTCCCCTCCTAGGTTGGTGTGAGACTGAACTGGGACAGTGGATCCCACTGGCCCCTTCCATTCCTAACCTTTCTCCTAAGCTCACCTCTTAGAGGGGCTCTCATTTTCTTTCAGAAACCAAATGCACATCCTTGCTCTACTATGGAAATTATACAATCTTGGGCACCAATACCGATATCAACTGTTGGTTGCTTTTTAAAGCCTCAAAAGCAGAGTGGGGATGGGGGCCAGTGGAAGCCTTGTTTGGTTCTTACTTTATCCAAACTGTGTATAAAGAATAAAGTTAGCAGAATGACACCGCAGACTTTTTAAAATTTTTATTAATACATCAATTTGCAGTTTTACAGGAACCAAGATTCAAGCTCTTTAGGTGCTACTGTATTTTTATGTTGCACGCACACACACGCATAGTTTCATTAGTAATTTTTCATCTATAGGTTTTTCTTAAAAAAAAAAATTTCCTGTGTGGCACAAAGATCTGTCCAATTATCTAAACACAGCACTAACAAAACAAAAGAGCTAAGTGTGGGGGCTTCCAGTGCAGACAAAGGTCCTTTGGAGGGGAAGCCCAAAAAGATCATCAGTGCAGTGACTTCCTGGGAGGGCAAAGGATGGGGCTGGAGAATGCATTTTCTATACTATGACATGAAATCAGTTAACAATTTCAACAGGAAAGGGGGTTAAGAAAGTAAGAGAATTGAGTAAGGCAAGGATACCTTTTACTCATCTAAATTCCTAAGTAATTTTCCCCAAAACACAGAAACTTCCCTTCTGCTACCTTCTAAAGAGTTGCAGTCCTTGGGACTGTCAAAGAGCGCAGCCCTTACTTTAAAGTCACCAGCGCATATTCCTTCTGGGTTACCGTGAGTTACAAGAACTCCCAGGTGGCTTTCCAGTTTACTGAATTTTCATGTTGGAAGGGGAGGAAGCCATGTATCAGTCTCAAACGGGAATCCAAGATTCCCCATTGCCCTCCATCTGATGTCAGTGTGAGCTGTTCTATCGTCTTTTAATTGTGCACAGAGCCCGTCAACACCATCTGACACTGCCTGGTCACCCTTACCTGAAGCTTCCTGGAAAACACTCTCAAAAGGAGCACCCTGGGCCATGGCAAAGGTGCTAGGACATTTTATGTGCCTGAAAAATGAAAGAAGCCCTCAAAACATGACACACACCCAGAAGCTAGCCTCAAAATTAAAACTCCCTATGAACCCCAAAATCACTTCCCTACACTAATTTGTGGTCTCAACTACAGACACACACCACCTCCTCCCAAGCCAGCTCAGCTGTGGTCCTCATGGTAAAAAGATGCGCACAGGTTAGAGGTGCAGCCTGTGCAGGAGAAGCTGTAGGGAAAAGATAAAAGGGGAAAGCCTTTGTGTTTCTTCTCTTGAGAATGTGCCCCCCCCCCCGGACTGATACAGGATCACAACTCAACAACTGGAGCCCACATGCAGGTTATTTTTTTTCTCTAACAAGTTTACAGCAGTTACAGACATTTATTTCATAATAAGAAAAGTACAACTGTATTTATTAAACTTGAGGTGAGGTGGGTAGGGAAGAGAGGGGAAAGCACATTCAGGAATGAGTTCTCAAACTAAAGCTCAGAACTGGTGTCCAAAATGACCCAGACACCATCTTCCCAATGGTGGAGCCTCCCCTTTCCTCGGGACGAGTGGCAGGGAGCAGTGCTCACGGCAGTGCTCCTGTTGACGCCCTCTCCAGTGCCACTTTCTGGTTCCGTTCTTGGCTATCAGATGGCATTCTGGTAACCAGGAGTTATTCCTATCACCTATAAGTTATTCCCAGGGTTGAAAGGTGCATCTATAAGCGAAGAGGAACACGAGGAGTAAGATGCTCACATTGTGGGGCAGGAAGATGGGATCGAGGGCTGCAAAACCCCCCAAACCTGCGGGAAGGAATTCCCCTGTCCCCAGACAACTTAACCATTATTCCTTAACTTGCAGATAAGGGCAAAATCATGACAGGACGCAGTGTAAGGAAATTACATAGCTTTGAAATTAAATAGAAGAGCCCGGGAGGGTGTTTTATCTTTTTCACTTTTCCCCTCCAATCTTTCCCCTTTCAAGCTACATGTAAAGGCTCCACCACCATTAAGGTATTGCTTTATCCTACTCAACGGATTCTGTCTTTATTCTCTTGGGTTCTAAGATATCAGTTCATTTTTCAGTCCAACAATTCTTGTGCTTGATACTGCAGGTAAAGGGAAAGGAGGGGAAAACACCAAATTAAAAAAAAAAAGCTTGGAATGCAGGCTCAAGCTGACACTGAGCACTTTCCTTCATAGTACAAGTCACCAGTTATAACTATTAATGGGGTTTTAGTGACTGCATTTCTGGTTTCCTTATTCTGCCTTTTTCTTTGCGATTCCAGGTAGTTTTGCTTGGATCCTATTGAGGGGGAAACAAAGGTAAAAGCAAACATTAGTTTTAGGTTTTTATTCTCACAGTGATGCTAGAGGACAGTCCTGGACTTGCTGGAGCAGCGTGAAAACATCCTCCCATTTCCAGAGAGCTTACCCTGGATGAAGAGAGTCTGGCATGGGGTAAGGTGAGGGGGCCGCCAAGATCCATGCCCTGTCCTTGCCACCAAGCCTGCTGCCTGCCCCTTCACTGCCAGAACCTCATGGGTCCTTCACTGGGGGTTCCAGGGAGAAAAGGGTATCTGGGCATGTCTGCTGACTGCGCTCTACGCGCTGGCAGTGGAAGAACCCATTTCTCTGGAAATGCCAGGTCACCCACTGGTGCCATAAAAGGAACCAGAAGTCAGCGGTTCCAGGAGTCAAGTCAAGGAGACTAGTAAAAAACTGTAGGAGCTGGCAATAGTTCCCAGCTCCCTATAGGATACCAAACACTTTATTTTGTTTGTTAAGGTTCCCTATGACTAAGGTCATTCACACCCCTCAGCTAATGTGAAAGCTACTCCTCACAGTGTTAGACCCCACAGCAGGGGGCCAAGTCAGCCAGCGCTGCTAGGCAAGACATTAGGTTCAAAGCCAAGTAAGCTATGACCATATTTCAAAATCAGGTATGATCAGCAACTAGATATATATTTTGTGTTAACCGTCCTTGCCTGGTTTTAGCTCCAATGTACACCCAAAAAGAGCTGATAAAGACCATAGCATCAAGCCACAGCTGTCTGGACATAGTCACAGTTTCCTCTTATTAAAGTGAGAAAAAGCACTAAAATCTGGCGTGTGAAAGGGACTGATACACATGGTAGATTTAACTGATGTTTTGTTTCCTTTTTATTATTATTTAAAAAAATATTTTTACTGATTTTGAGAGAGGAAAGGAGAGGGAAAGAGAGAAATATCTATGCAAGAGGATCAGCTGCCTCCCCCACCCCCCCCACTGGGGATCAAGGCAGCATCCAGGGCATGTGCTGACAGGGCAGGGCTGATGTTTTGTTTCTTAAAGAATATCTGAAGAGCCTAGCCGGAGAGTGGCTAAGTTGGTTGAGCACTGTGGGTTGTCCTGTGCACTGAAAGGTTGCCAACCAACTGATGTTTCTTTCCCCCCTCCCCCCCATTTCCCTTCCTCTCGATAAAAAAAAAAATCAATAAAACATCCTCGGATGAAGATTATTTAAAAGAGATGAAATAATTTCTTGTAAAATCAAACTATTAACCAAGGTTTTTATTCAGGGTGAAAACTTGGCATCAGCATTTTACACAGGGGACTAAAAATCACTGGGGTAAAAGCACACAATATGATGAAATGTGGAACCTGAGCATACTTACTTTTCAACAATCGACTTGGTCTGATCACGGACGATGCCAACGTAGTGATCAATCTGGGTCTTTAAAGGAAGGAAAGTGACTCAGTTGTGGCAACACACAGATTAACAATTTTCCTGAAAGCAATGTTCTTTTGTCAACTGTAATTATTTTTTAAAAAACACTACTGAATATTCTGGAAAATGAAAAATAATGCCCAGCTTTTTTTTACAGGTGTTAAAACTCCAGATTTCAGCCTGGCCGGGCGTGGCTCAGCAGTTGAGCATCGACCTTGGATCCAGGAGATCGAGGTTCGATTCCCAGTCAGGGCACATGCCCAGGTTGCGGGCTCCATCCCCAGCAGGGGGGAGTGCAGGAGGCAGCCGATCAATGACTCTCTAATCATTGATGTTTCTCTCTCTCTCTGAAATCAATAAAGATATAAAAAAAAAACACTCCAGATTTCAGACTTCAAATTATGCTACAAGCACCCCATACTCAGTTGCAGTAAAACTCACTAATTTCTTCTGCAGAGGTATAAGTCTAACTTGCTAGGTGCTTCCTTTAGAGACACCAGACTTATAATAGCATTTTCTGAATACTAGATAATGCGTGTCTCATCTGTTTTCTGTAATCATAAATGTATTTTGGCTCCTGGGTAAGACTAATTCATTTAATACCAAAAAAACATAAAGTCTGTTGATGGATGACTTAATCCGTAAAGAATAACCTCATAAATCTAGTATATTCTGTATATACCATTCCACAGTGCAAACACCTGTTCACACCAATGGATTCCCATACTAGCCTTAGTTTCTTTTTAGACATGAGCTTTTATTTACTTAAACATTTTTTTGAACAGATAATGCAGCCATGTGATAAAAACACAAAAGGGACACAACAAAATGTAAAAAGTAAGTCTCCCTACCCTTATCTCTCCTAGACAGTTTCTCTACTTAGAGGAAACCACTGTTACCAGTTTCTTATAGGTACTTGGCTTATAAAATCTGACTGTAGAAATAGTTAGGAGAGATTGCTCTGAATTTTTCACACCTAAAAAATGAACTAAAACTAATCACACATCAACTGGCATATCTAATTTGAAACAGGCCAAAGCTTACCTTGTACTTCTCATAGACAATTGGAACACTGAAAACGAGCAGTTCAGCTGTAAGAGAACCATGGGACATGGCAAGTGTAAGTGTGAGACAGTTACAAAGTCTCAGGACTCAAGTAACACATAGATCCCCCCCCCCCATGAAATACAGGGAAACACAGATCTTCAATATGAGAAATTCTGGCTAGATCTCTCAATTAAGGAGTTAGATATAGGTACAATGGCTACCACAGATAATTTCCAAATTATGAAAATGACTTCTACAAAAAGATCCCCATATTTAAATCAAATCTAGACTTTCCTTTGCTTCTAGCTGTTTTGATATTATTTTTTAAAATTAGGACTATTTAATAAACCTATGGCCACACACACAGGTTCCTTCAATATCTAGTTCCAGGTCTCTCTGGATGTTAAAGGCTGGGCCATACAGAAGGAGTGGAGCCATGCTGGGCATTCTCTTGGCTCTTACTCTTACCAATTACTTCTAAGAGCATGGAGACGTTTTCCTTGCCACCTTACCAAGAATCAGAAGGGTGATTCCATTGAAAACGGCACCAACATAGGTCATCAGCCACATGAAGACAGCCAGCTGTGAAGGCCAACATCAGGGGGTTAAGCAGGAATAATTATAACAAATTTCAGGTTAACCGATGCCATTTTCCTCTAGTTAATTAAGTCTCCATAAATTCAGTGATGTATGCCATAAGTTATTTCAAATGAAGGTTATCCCATTTGCACAAGACATTTGAGAGTGCATAAGAGAGTTCTGTAGTTCTCTTAGGCCCATTCCTGTCAATTACATTACTCCTGTCCTAATGTCAGTTCTCCAGGCGCAGGAGATGCGGCCTCCACTGACTCCTATCCCCATTTCACAGGCTGAGGGAGATAAGCATATAATTTTTTTTATCTGATGAAACCCTATTTATTGTTTTTCCTCTGAATTATTACCTAGTCTCTGGTTTTCCTCAGCCTCACCACCAAAACTGTAGCAGAACTAACCTTCAAGGAGTCAACCAGATCTTCTACCAGAAAGAGACGAATAAGGAGTTTCAGGGCCCTGTTGACGTGCACCATGGCAGCATTCACGTAATTATGGAAAGCTTCTGAGGACAGAGTGATGTCTACATCCAGGTAGGCTCTTCCAGAAGAAGAAACAACAGTCAGGCATTTGACATGGAAGGAAAAGACCTTTTTGTTAGCACAGCAGTTCTTTAGAGTGTGAAATTCCCCGAAGGGTGCATTTAAGAAATCTCTAGGGGCATTTTTTGCTGTCACGGGGCAGGGGTGGGCGCACCACTGCCATTTAGTGGCAGAGGCAAAGATGTCAGATGTTTGCAAAGTGTGGGATAGTCCACAAAGTGTGGGACATTTTTCCCTACAGTTTTAACATATCCTCAGTTTCTAAAATTGTATTTTGTTTATGCTAAACTTTACTAAGATTACCCCCACCATCATATTAAAAAATCATTACTGGAGATTACACACGTAGGTGCAAGTATCTGATGTTTCATTATGGTTTTTGTTTTTGGTGTAGTCATTTCCAAGCAATTATATGTTGACTAGAATACATACTATTTTATTATACATGGCTATTTTATCATTCCTTTATATTACAATTATGATTTTTAAAATTTTGTTTATAGATATATTACTTATTTCATTTCAAAATGATATAGGAGGCATTATAAAATATTTGTTAAACAAAAAGGGGGGTCAACAATAAAGATAAATTTAAAAAATTAAATTAAATACTTGGTTTTGATATAAAATAGTAATAATAATAATAATAATAATAATACAAAACAAAAAGGAGGGGAGCTATTGAGTTTGACAGGACTGAAGCTACAGGAAAAGACAGACCTGGGTCTATTCCCAGAGGCCCTACATACTCAAGATGCAACCATTTGTTCGTACGCTGTTCATTCACTCAGTGCTTTGAGCACCTTCTGAGAACCACTCTGCAAGGTGCTGGGATATTAGGAAAGATAAGACTGCTTCTGCCTTACAGAGCCTACAGTCTTGTGGAAAAAACAGTGACAGGCATGTTTTTCTTTCCTATTTAGTAAAAAAATATTTACTACCAAATACAAAAGTTATAAAAATTAGTTGTTGTAATTAATACAACTTAGCAAAACACATTTTACAAACCCACAACAGTGTCATTCAAAAGGGGGAAAAACCCCAAGACATCCGAGCTTGTGGCAAAATAATAAAATTTATTCACTCATTCATTCAACAACTATTAATTTGTTAAAGCTAATCTGTAATAACTTTTCAAATGCCACATATAGTTTTAAATTAGTCCTATTTTCACCAAGAGAAAACACAAGGACCAGAGCTACAGCCAGACACCTATTCTGTCACAGTTCTGAGAGGTCACAACACGGTTTCTTTCTCTATGAGAAACAGGTTTATAAAAAACTGTCATTGCCAATGTTAACCCTTTTTATGGTTTAAGATTTTCAGATGAAAAATGTGAGGAATACAATTGTTAAAGTTACAGCACAGTCAGAAAAGTTGGAAACTGGATTCCAGAAATGCATGACCTACATTCATTAAGACTTGCCCCTGGTGTTAAGAAAACTAAAGGAGAGATAAAAAGGAAATCAGTAATAAAACCAAGGGAAAACACATCGAGTTCTGATATTATGAAGAAAGCAGCCTCAGTACCAAGATTTGAAAGTCGTTTTAAGATTTAACTATGTGGGGCTTAAACGTGTTTGGGGCCCCATCTAGCTGAGTGCTGTCCTGGATGCTGTGTTCCCTACCCTGCTCAGGAATTTAGACAGTCAGCTTTGCTCTTAAAGTGTGAGACTAGCTTGTCAAAAAGATCTTCGCTCCTAACTGGTCACTTCTTAAGGTGGTGCCATGGTTTCCAGTTGTTATTTCATGCCACTAACCAGCTGCATTAGACACTATATTCTTGATTTTTTCATCAGGTCTGACTTTTACACCTGCCCAGTGTCAGTGAACCCCATCACTAAACTGTAAAATGTTACTTGTGATCCTTCAACTCACTTGAATGGGTGGCCTTCTTCTGACTTCTGTACAGCTTGGATGACAGACCTGTAGACCCTGAAGCTGATGGTAACAGAGAGAAGAGCCAGGATGAGGTAAGAAACCACACTGATGACACTGAAAGCTGCCAGGGAAAGCAGCACGATCAGCGTGGTGCCGAAGACAAACCCAGTCTTCTTCACATCTCGCCAGAAAATCAGATCGTGCACTGTCAAAAGAAAAGGGAACATAAGTTACACAAACACCCAGGAGCCACTGGCCAGGACTGCTCTCTGGCTGCGTCCTGCACGCCCGAGAAGCAGGACGCTAGCATGCAATTACAGGTGGCCCCTGCTTCAGAGAATCTGAGAGGTGAAAGTCACATTATTTCAGGGGGGTAATTCATACTGCAGAAGGTTCCTCTGGTTTCTGGACAGGTTTATAAAAACATAGGAACTTATTTTTTAGGGGTAGCTTACTGATGTATAAGGGGGTAAAGTATCATTTACTTCAAACGTTTTAGCCAAAAGGATGGTAGAGCAAGTGTGGTAAAATCTTGATAACTGTTAACCAAGCAAACTATGAATATAGGTCAGCTGGGTCGACAAGCTATAAAACCAAAGCTGAACTGAAATGTATGAACGGGACTGGGAGCAGAGAGAGTGATGAATAAAAATAAATCAAGCTCTATTAGTGTTAGTCACAATGAAACACCAGTGTCCGCTGGTGGGTAACACTGAAGGTACTCAGGATTATGAATAGGGGGCCACTATTAAACCACCACACTTTTGAAAATAAGTGGGGATACTATTAATAATTATTAGGAAATAGGTGTAATAAATCAAGACTGTCCCGGCAACTGGGTCTTGCTGTTAGGGACATCTAAACTGTAAAAACCTAAGTTCTTCTATCTGAAGAGACCTCTAAAACTCTGGGTGTAAACTGCTAGCAATTACCTCCAATCTAGCAATGATAGTACATTTGATTTTCAATCTGTGAAGGCTGACTTCAACACTAATAACTCTATTCCAAGTTTCTTCTGTGCTATTCTTTGCTTATATAAAAAAGAACAAGGGCTGGAGAAACATGAGTTTGAGTCCTGGTAATTTTTAGCCATATTACCTTTAATATGGACACATGCCAGGGCTACGGGCTCGATCACCAGCAGGGGTGTGCAGGAGGCAGCCAATCAATGACTCTCTCATCATTGATATTTCTCTCTCTCTCTCTCCCTTCCTCTCAGAAATCAATAAAAACATTTTAAAAACCACCTTTCTGTTTCCTCATTTATAAAATGAAGAAAGTGACATCTATTTCCTGGAGTTGTTTTAAGGAATATATAAGGCTAATGCATGTAGAAAGCTTAGCTTTGTAAATGACACACAGTAACCACACAAATTTGAACTATAATCAACATGCAGCTGGCTTGGAAGACCAACTGAAGGTAAAATGAACTTGAATCTGACTCCAGCTGACCCACTGCCACCTAGTTTCTTTCCTATATTCAGCTTCAATACTCTTCTCTGAAGCCTAAACTTGCTAGAGCCAAGGGAACCTAACTTGAAACTAAGAAAACACTAAAGATATACTTCACTGTATAGAAGAAATAATCACTGGGTTCAAGATTCAGCTAGGGGATGTAACTACTAGGAGAAAGCAGTGGGTATTAGGATCACTAAGGGGAAGTCAAGAGTCCGACAGTGAGGTTGCAAAGGAGAGAGAGAAATGGGAGGCAACTCAGGCTCACCTGACTGAACAGGAACACTGAACAGAATACTATCTACTTACGAGGGCAATTCCCATAGACAGAGTCCAAGTAAAGGTATGTCACCATTCATATAACTACAGAACAGTTTCAACACAGAATGCTCAGTGATGGAACACACCGATACCATGTGCCTCCTGATGTAATGTGCTGAGGAGGACACAACATCACTTCTATGGCATTCTTGCAAAAAACATAACACCTGAACCTAATGAGAAAACACCGAACACAGACTGAGAAATAGTCTACAAAACAACCGGACTGTATTCTTAAAAAATATCAATAGTGTGAAAGGAGACTTGACAACACATATGCAGTGTGATCACAGACTGGACACTGGATACGGGGATAAAATAGCTATAAAGAACATCCTGGGGAAAACTGACAAAATTTGAATGTGGACTATGTAATTGATAAAAATACGGTATCAGTGTTAAATTTCCTAAATTTGATAAAAATTTAAGTGTACTATAAAACAAAACAAAAAAATTCTTGTTCAAAAAAACACATTCCAAAGTATTTAGGGGTAAAAGGGTAAGATCTTTGCAAACAGCTCTTGAGCGGTTTGGGGGAAAACCTCTATCTATAGAGAAGAGGGAAGGAGTGATAAAGCAAAAGTGACCAACTGTTCACAACTGGTGAACTAGGCCAACGTATATGGGAGTTTTTTGTACTATGCTTGCTATTTAAATCTGAAATGTTTGAAAGAAAGAACAAGAAAGAAATGCTTAGAGGATAAGGCTGTGATCCAGAGAATAGAAGAACATGCTGTATCAGAGAAGGGAAAAGGGACAGATGCTAAATGCAAATAAATCTACCTTCCAGCAAATCAGAAAAACCACCCTGTCCTCATGAACTTTACTGCCATCTGCTGGAAACTGTCCCAAGGAATACTCAAACCTACACTGGTTAGCACATATGAATGGTGCCCCCAGAGGGGTGCGGTACGCAACCTGCGTAACAGGTCAGAAGGCCAGCTGGAGCTGCGTCTGTAGTGAGAGAAGGGGAGAGTGGCATGAGATGAGGCTGGAGCCGCGGGAGAGGCTGGGCTGGCTCGTGGGGCTCTTTCACAGAGCAAGGGAAGGAGCTTGCATTTACTTCAGCTGAATGCGAAGTCACTAGAGAATGTCAAGCAGAAGAACAAGACATGTTTTAAGGAGAGAAACTTTTTACTGCGGCAGACAGCAAATGGACTGGGAGGGGGCAAGAGTGAGGACAGAGAGGCTCCCCAGGAGGCTAATATGGGGGTTCAAGTGAGAGCTGATGGTTACTTAGATTAGGATGGGGGCAGGCAGGATGGAGATGAGTGGGACAATATGAGTTATATTTTTGAGGCAGAACAGGCAGAACTTGATGGACTGGATGTGGAAAGTGATGAAATATGAATGACACCTAAGTGTGGGGCCTGAGCAAAAGCAGTGTAATTTGCGGAGGTGAGGAAGAGCAGAGTACACAGTGTTAATTTTGGGATGCATGTTTAGAGATATCCATTACTAAAGTGGCGGGCAGATCCACCAGTGTGGAGCACACAGGGCAAGCCTGACCTGGAGACACGAAATGGATGAGGTTACCTGGTACTGACAGGGGAGGCGGCCCAGGTCCTACCTCTGAGGCGCTCCAACATTTAGCAGTTCACTCAAGAAGAGGCACTGGTGAAAGGAAACGGAGGAAATAACCAGAGAGGTGGGGGCTAACTAGGAGAGTGCGGTACCACAGAGTTGAGTGGAGTGCTCTGAGGAGGAGGGTGTGGAAACTGGCTAATCTGGCTGTGGTTGAATGAAGAAAAGTGACCCTGAATTTGGAACATGGAGATGGTGATCTGATCAAAGCTGTTCAGGGGAGTGATGGGAACACGAGCATCTGGAGGGAGCTGAAGAGGAATCAGTGAGACATGGAGGCAATGAGAGAAAATGCCTAAGAACTTGAGCTCTGAAGGGGAGCAGAGACATCTGGAGCCAAGGGATCATTTTTTAAAGATGGAAAAACACTTTAAAGCATGATTATATGCAGAAACAAATAGGAAGAGACAAGGTGGGGGCAGAAGCAGTGAAGACCAGAATGGAGGGATGAAGATCCAGAGCCCAGCTGAAAGGCTGACCCTGTAACACAGTGAACAGGATTAAGAGACACAGGCCTACCCACAGACCTGAAGATTGGAAGAAGAGGGGCTTCTTTCTGAATGCTTCTATTTTCTCAACAAAAAGGAGCTGAGATCACTAGCTGGGTGGGGTCAGGGGTCAAAGAAGGTTTACGGAGAGAGATTAAGATATAAAATGGTTATTTCAGAAAAGTGAGAAAGTGTCTTAGAGCTCTTAGAAGAAAACACTATTTATCTTTGTGACCTTAGGCAATGGCTTCTCAGATATGATACCAAAAGCACAAGTGACAAAAGAGAAAAGAAAAAAAAAAGATAAATTGGATTATATCAAAATTAAAAACCTCTGTGCTGTAAATGATACCAAGAAAGTGACAAGATACTCAAAAAATAACAGTATATTTGCAAAGTATGTATCTGGTAAAGTATCTGTGTCCAGCTATATAAAGAATTATATATAACTCAATAAAAAGAAAATTAGCCCAACTGAAAAATGAACAAAGGATCTGAAATTTCTCCAAAGATATACAAATGGCCAATAAGCACATTAAAAGATGCTCAGCATCACTAGTCATCAGGGAAATGCAAATCAAAACCACAATGAACCTACTAGGATGGCTCTAGTAAGTACAATAACAAATATTGGTAAGAATGCGAAGAAACTGGAGCCTACCTTCCTGTGGGAATGAAAAATGGTGCAGCTGCTTCAGAGAACAATCTGACAGCTCATCCAAAAGTTAAATGTGGTTATTATATGACCCAGCAAATGCCCAAGAGAAATAAAATAAAAACATATGTCAACACAAGAAACTGTGCACACCAACGTTCATAGAAGCATTATTCATAACAGCCACAAAGTGGAAACAATTTGAACATCTATCAACTGATGAATGAATGCACAAATAAAGAGTAGTATATCCATACAATGGGATTACTCAGCAATGAAAAGGAATGAATTTGGCTTGACATACTACAACATGAATAAAGCTTGAAAACATTAAGGCTAAATCAAAAAGCCAATTACAAAAGACCACATGCTATATGATTTCATTTATATAAAACATCAGGAATAAACAAATCTATAGAGACAGAAAGTAAATTATAGTTGTTTAGGGTTGTTGTAATGGTGGAAAATGAGGAGTGGCTGCTAACAGGTATGGAGTTTCTTTGTGGTGGGGGCACTAAAATGTTCTAAAATTGGACGGTGTTAATGATTAAAAAAAACACACCAAAAAACACCATTTAGCTGTACACTTTAAACAGATGAATTTCACAGTATGTGAACTATATTTCAATAAAGGTTTTTTTTTAAAAAAAAGAAAAATATGCAATTATAGTCAGGTGTTTTAACACCCTCTCTCAATAATTA